ATGTGTTGTTACGCCTAATTTAAGAATATTGCGATGCAGAATCGATTTTGGTAAAAGGTCCTTTCTGAACGTCCAGTTTCAGACGCATTTGCACGAAGTATTTTAGTATACGATAAAGTATTGCTTTTGTGATATTAGACGTCCTGCTCTATTTGTGTAGACATGATACATTTCTTATACTCTTGCCATTTTTCTCTTTACGGACAAAAGTGATTGGATTGAATATCTTAGTGACGCAGCAACTTTAGGATCTGCGGTTTTCGCCAAAATTCATGAAACTGTTTGCTCCAAAGCAGCCCCTACTATGGAAGAAACCTAAGATGGGCGATGGAGCACGTTAGGTCAGGGCTTTTTTTAAAGCTGATCTAGTCTTGATGGCAAAGTAAGATAATTTATTTTCGAGAGATGTTTTCAAAAATCCACCCGAAATCAATAGCCCGTTTTCGGCTAAATCATGTAAAAATTCATTAACAACAACACCTGGTCGTCCTGCGTTGTGAAACGGGCCAGGAAATGTTAAATTGCTTAATTGAAATACATTGAACGTAAAATCCAATATTTTTTTCTGATTTTTACATTCATCGGCATGAACTTCGTACGAATCAGCTTTAATATTAAATAGTTGCAGGCCTTGTGGTCTAACCAGTTCATTACAGTATTTAACAGCAATTTTAACAACTGGTAATGTTATATTCATCCATTGTGTTGGTGGTTTCGCTGCACTCGAAATCGGAACTAAATCTAATTCTAACAAATCGACATCAGTATCATTACGATTTTGTCCCATAACAACGCTATCGTCTTCATCATCATTTTTATTATATTTATTTTGAATTTCCGTTTCAATCTGGTTGATTTTTTGATATCACTAAACACAGTATCTTGTGGTAATAATTCATTCAATACATCAACAGCATTGACAATATTTTGAAAACTCAATGCGACTCTGTAAAGCAGATTAAAAGATAAGGAGGTGAGTAACTGCTTCATAAAAGTAATAGCAACACATTCTGAACAGTACTAACCTTTCGATCAAATCCGCACTTCGTCTTTCATATGCTTGCTGACTTGGATCCGACTGATCAATCCGACAGGTAATTATAGATGGAGAGTTATTTGTACGCTTCTTGTGTGTATTTATAGACACGAAAACGCATTAAAAATCTTGTTAAATACAAATATTCAACTGATGGTAAGTCCTGGTCTCCAACTACTGTTTGATTAACGAATTGTTGTTGTGATAATGACCAATACAAACAACGTTCGTAAATCCCTGAAAGAAAAGCAGAGAAAAAAAATACTTTATCGTATACTAAAATACTTCGTGCAAATGCGTCTGAAACTGGACGTTCAGAAAGGACCTTTTACCAAAATCGATTCTGCATCGCAATATTCTTAAATTAGGCGTAACAACACATTCTATTATTGAACTCCTCTACACGGGTTAAACAGAAAACATCCGTGTAGGAGTTCAACTCCTACACAGATGCTTTTTGTTTAACCATTATCATTATCTCAAAAAACTGGTGGGTAATAAATTTTGGACTGGTGGGCAATTACTCACTATCTGGATACGCCACTGAGGAGTTGATAGACTCCGTTAGACTAAACTCGCTTTCCCTCCAGATCCAGCAATAGAACAAAAAACTAAAATCTTGCGGTACATTCGGCATGTTCAGTATGTCTTTCATTTCTCATTAGTGAGCAATCAGTCGCATAAACTTGAAATATTTATATAAAAAGGCTGTGCTCACAGTTTGTCGGATTATTGTTGGCATAATATTCCAATATTCGTCCCCATTTACTACCTGTACTAGGGACTAACATCGAAATAGTACGATCTTCTATTTGTTTGCCGTACGTCATTGTGCCTTTCGAATACAAATAAATGCCATTGAATACATGAATAAAAAATCCATGAACATCGGTTGCCTTCGGCAAATTTGGATTGAAAAACTCGATGTCTTGTAATGGTATATCTTCGTCAGAAGAGATGAATAGTGACGTTTTTTCTAAATCACTAACTAATTTACTTATTTCACTAACTACGAAAATTTCCTCCTTCATCAACAAATTTTGTCCTTCCATATAACTTTTCGAACCATCGACAAGCCGTATGCACACATCGAATATAACTGCTTTTGTTGGTACCTAAAACAAAAGAGGGGAACAACAATCAGGCAGTAACGTATGAAGATGCACAAGACATAATGCGTCCCGTAACATCGAAAATGCCCACAACGCAGGACTTGAGTATTTTTATTGTCTTTTACAAAAAAGCGTTCCCCGTATGACTTCAACGGAATAAAAACATAGCTAAAACTTTCCATTAGAACAAGTCATTGTTCAGCAGATCTACACACTTAAAGAAAAACGTTATTTTTACAAATAAAGTAATACGAAAACAAAATGCACATATAGGAATGCACCAAATCCTGCGACTATGTCTGAAAGGTTGCATATTTTTGATATTTAAAACTCTAAGCTTTAGCAAACTTTTGTGTCAGACATAACCAGTTTTATCTGTTCTATCCGAAACTAGTGTTGAATTTTATCAAATTTAAAAATAAGCCGCTGGATTTGGTAGGGTTTGATGAAGAATGAAGAAAAAGAGTAGTTTTCACCAAACTTTACCAAATCCAGCCGCTTATTTTTAAATTTGATGAAATTCAACACTAGTTTCGGATAGAACAGATAAAACTGATTATATCTGACACAAAAGTTTGCCAAAGTTTAGGGTTTTAAATATCAAAAATATGCAACCTTTCAGACATAGTCGCAGGATTTAGTGCATCCCTATGCACAAACCAGAATCTCCTCGTAGAATACCATATAAATTTCCGGTAATATAATTATTTGTTTTAGAACGATATAACTTGCTTTCGCTTGACCAATGCATGAATGAAATTGAAAAAGACTGAATGATATTGTAAAATGACCACTGAGCTAACCATACACCAAACGTATCAAAATCTTCTTGAAGACTCTTCTTCACGTCTAGAACAGAAAAAACACAATAGCACCATTATCTACTTAGTAAAAACTTACACGAGCGAATATTAGTTTAACTTTTGATAGAATGGTACTTTAAGGAAGTCTACGAAGCGGGTCAAATCAATATCTGCAAAAATCTGACATTGTACAGCCGACTTTCCCTTAAGGAACATGATGGTATTAATTTGAGACTCAGCTAGAGATTAAGCTCAAAATAAATAAGTATATAGCCATTTTATTCATTTCTGCAAGAATGGCTCTTTCAAATGTAAATGTGGTCTAAAGTTATCACTCAGTCTATTCAGTTTTTCATATAAATTTTATGTGTACATGCGTGTTCACTGAAAAACAAAAATATATCTTTTTCCGTCATGTTAGATCACATTAGGCTTCACTTTTATATGTTGTTATATATACTTATTTATAGACGAAAAGAGAACGAATTCTATTATTCGATGTGCATCCTTTAATAGACTAAACTGGTTGACTTTCTTGTTCTATTTCTTGCAAGATTCTTGTCCTTGACATTTTAGACACTAATCCTGTTAGAGAGTAGTCGGGCGCAATTAGAACACGGTAGTTTTAGTGTACACTATTTTTCTTATTTTTTAAAAGAAAAATATGTAGAAATGTTCCTTCATTACAAAGAATCGTAAAGACTTTTTATTGAAAACAGACCAAGTTTTCACCTTCATGTACATCATGGAGAAAACTGAATGACCTGGCATACATAGGACTTGTTCTTCGGGATGAAGAAACATTTCTGCATATTTTCCTTTTAAAAAATAAGAAAAATACTGCACGCTAAAATTCCCGAGTTCTAATTGCGGCCGACTACTCTAAAAAATAGCAGTAGAACAGCATACAAAGCCTTTTTTAAATCGACCGCTCATAACTTAATTATTCTTCAGCCAAATTAGATAACTGTCATATTCACAAAACTCTCTACTAAAACTGTAAAAAAGAATACGGGAATTTCACAATAGTACAATGTGACACAACATGTAAGATAAGAAAAGATATATTTTTGTTTTCAATGAACATGTGTGCATACATAAAACTTACATGAAAAACTGAATAGACTGAGTGATAACTTTAGACCACATTTACATTTGAAAGAGCCATTCTTGCAGAAACGAATAAAATGGCTATATACTTATTTATTTTGAGCTTAATCTCAAGCTGAGTCTCAAATTAATACCATCATGTTCTTTACAAGTAAGCCGGCTAAGGAGTGGAAAGTTACCTTTCTAGCTAATTAGGAAAAATACTTTCTAGTGCGGTACTTTCCTTCTTTATGATAAAATTTGATTACACCATGTTTTCGAAGAAAAGTTCGAGTAAAACATGGTGTAAGTCAGTATAATTCACATAAAACTTAAGCACTCCGTCTTGACTTAACTCCGTCAGATGATCTTATCGTAACCAGTTAAGATGAACTAAAGCAGACGCTTGCTAAGCCGATCTAAATCTCAGATGCATTTCTCAAGTGTTTCAAAACATAAGATGAAACACGACGAAATCTTCACCAAATACAAAACTCATTGAGGGATTCATGGGGACAATACGGACGGTTCTTTTCTTCAAATGTACTCACAGAAGTCAATGACTCGGTTCTTGTTTGCTACGAGAAACAGACTTACTACTTAAATTTTCGAAAACACTTCTGTCTTAATTTAACCCTTTACCTCTCAAATGTCCACAAGCGTGGACATGGGCTAATCGCTATAGACAAAATAACAAAGCATCTGATGGAAAACTCATTCTGATATGGTCGACTAAATAGATAATTGCTGAAGTTGTACAAAAATGTAGAGTTAGCTTTTTGATCACATGATTGATTATTATTCTATACCAATTTTGTTGTCCGTGTAAGTTGGGAAAAGGGCGACGGGGCTAGAAAGGTAAGCACAAAAAGATAATAATGCCTTATTTTAAGACAATCATCCAAGCGTAAGTTCTGGTCTTAAAGTTAAACGACCTTCACAACGCAAAAAGAAGGCGAAGACATTGCAAAACGCAGGACTTCTGATGTAATACAGATTATATGTATGATGTAAGAGAAAAAAACAGGATAACTCTCAAATGCTGTCAAAAATCATAGACAGACGATTATGGTCAGTATATTAGCCTCCATTTTCATATTCTTTATATTCCCCATTTTTCATATCGTTCGTCTATGAAATGTATGCAAGAACATAGGTGCAATATATAAGCATATAGCAGCGCATAGCAATATGACAACATGTTTCATAGTTAGAACTACGAAAAAACAAAATGAAACCTGAAATGTTGTTCAGAAACTCACTCTCAGCCCCCAACTCACCACCCTCCGCACTCCGCGAGATTTCACCTGGGATTCCTCGTGTTCCTCATATTCCTAATATTCCTCACATTCCTCATGTTCCTCATATCCCTCACATTCCTCATATTCTTCATTTTTCATATCGTCCGCCTATGAAATGTATGCACGAACCCCACAACCACCCGCACTCCGCGAGATTTCTGCTGGGATTTCTCAAATTCATCCTATTCCTGCTGTTCCTCACATTCCCCATATCCCACACATTCCTTATATTTTCTATCGTTCGTCTATCCAACCTATCCAACAACGTACATGCAATTTATAACTACAGCAATACGACAATATGTTTCATAACTTGCTATGTTTCATTTCTACACCTGAATCCAAAACATGTATCATAGTCATGTTTGGCCATCTTTGGTTCCAGGAATCTGGTGACAAAAGACTCAACCTGATGTTTAGTTGCGAAAATATCCATAAAGAGAAAAATGGCAAGAGTATAAGAAATGTATCATGTCTACACAAATAGAGCAGGACGTCTAATATCACAAAAGCAATACTTTATCCATAG